ACATCCATGTATACCAATATTTCTGCTGATTTGGCCGTTCAATGCGTAAATGATCGTTGGGACGAGAACACAAACTTTTGATTCACAACTGTACAATTTGTCCTTGTACAACTGTTGTTGTACAACTTGTTTTTTGGGGTTTACTTGGCTTTAAGTGGCACTTACGCGGTTTTAGCAGTTTTTGATACACACAAAAATTTAGTTTTTATTTTCCCACGATCGTGGAATCGACGGAATCTAAACAAAAACCAGTCTAAATGAAAGTTCAGATTCTCACCTTTCTAACGAGCACAAGATCATCCCCGGGAAACGTTTAGTTTCCGAGATATGACCGCTCAAAGTTGGTCACATGCGCTTTTGCGCAATGTGAATGCGTCTTATCACCGAGTCATTCGCGAACTAGGGGTCCCTAAGGTTCAATTTACGTTGAAATAATTACACAGAACAGTAAGGTGTACAACACGAGCCGTATTTTGACCTTCGGCTGCCGATGTGCGACGTTGCCATTTTCTGAAGTGAAAACTCTTAAAAATGCATAACTCCGCTGCATTTCAACCGATTTCAATGAACTTTTTTTTAAAATTTTCCTCTTAAATAGAGCTATCTAATGGCATTTAGGTTTCTGGATTTTATTTAACTTGGGGAGGCACTTAGGTCGTTTATAAGATTCTTTGCAGAGATTTTTCATACAAAAAATAGTGTTGCTATTTTTTTTCTTTCTTTTTTTCTTTTTTTTCCCGCGGGTTGTGGGAGGGTTTGAAATGGCAAAATTTAAAAGAAAGAACTTTTAAAAAAGGGATTCTTTTAATCACTATTTTAACGTGTACAAATATTGAAAGCGACGCTCTCATTGTACAAGAGAAGGTGGTGTTGCTAATTTACCAAGATTTTTGCATTATACTTTAAGCGATGGTGATTTTCCGATCTAGTTTGAATGTTAAAAAGAATCGGGGGAAATACAGACCCCCTTCCGAAGAAAAAGAAAAAAAGAAAGAAAAAAAATAGCAACACTATTTTTTGTATGAAAAATCTCTGCAAAGAATCTTATAAACGACCTAAGTGCCTCCCCAAGTTAAATAAAATCCAGAAACCTAAATGCCATTAGATAGCTCTATTTAAGAGGAAAATTTTAAAAAAAAGTTCATTGAAATCGGTTGAAATGCAGCGGAGTTATGCATTTTAAGAGTTTTCACTTCAGAAAATGGCAACGTCGCACATCGGCAGCCGAAGGTCAAAATACGGCTCGTGTTGTACACCTTACTGTTCTGTGTAATTATTTCAACGTAAATTGAACCTTAGGGACCCCTAGTTCGCGAATGACTCGGTGATAAGACGCATTCACATTGCGCAAAAGCGCATGTGACCAACTTTGAGCGGTCATATCTCGGAAACTAAACGTTTCCCGGGGATGATCTTGTGCTCGTTAGAAAGGTGAGAATCTGAACTTTCATTTAGACTGGTTTTTGTTTAGATTCCGTCGATTCCACGATCGTGGGAAAATAAAAACTAAATTTTTGTGTGTATCAAAAACTGCTAAAACCGCGTAAGTGCCACTTAAAGCCAAGTAAACCCCAAAAAACACGACATCACTAGAAAGCTCTATTTAAGAGAAACATTTTAAAAAAAAGTTCATTGAAATCGGTTGAGATGCGGCGGAGATATGAATTGTTAAAGGTTTCCACTTTAAAAAATGGCAACGTCGCAACCCGGCGCTTCTAAGCAAAACGGCGACCGGTTTTGGGCGTCTCGGAAGCTACTGTATCACCCCAAGTGATCAAAATTCGAAAATGCCTTGAGGCATTTTTGGCCGTTTTTTCACACACCTCTTTTCCATGCTAAAATTGTGTATAAACGAAAGTCATTCGGAACAAAGAAACCTCGCGAACGCGTTGCAACAGCTTATCTCAAAATTAACGGCCGTCCTTCCTCCTACCGTGTTGGCAGATTTCATTCAAAATCTCACTGCAAAAAATTTTGTACTAAAGCAAAGTTTACAAGGGAAGTTGCAAAATAAGTTAATGAGGCTGCATAAGGTTGCTTTTCAAGAATATCTAAGTGTTTTTAAACCTTTTTAAAACAAAATGAATAACTGGGTAGAAAATCTTTCGGATTTCTCCATACCGGAATTTGTTTTGAGAGTACTATCTCTTGGACCTAGATTTTCATTACCTTACTTTAAAATAAACGGAGCAGAGGGACCATTCAAACCAATCCCTTTAGACCGTATTATTTCTACCATCGAAAGTAAGATCAGGTTTGAATTCCAACCAGTGATATCACGAATTAGAGGATGCCTCTCTCATATTTTTAAGGATTATTTAAATTTGGTAAACAGGGTATCAACCACAGAGAAAGTCTCCGTGGCTTCCAACAACAATTTCAACCAGTGCTTTTTTACTAGGTCGCTGAAAAAATATTTTTCAGACACTTATTATTTTTGTAAAAAAAACCAAAACATTAAGATTATAAAAGCTGACAAATCAAACAAAACTGTCATTATAAATTCCCAGGTCTATGAGGATAAAATGCTTGAACTGCTAGGTGATGAAACGACGTATCAAAGAATTAGACATTCATTGGTACCCACTCAAGTAAAACAATGCACTACGATCATCGGTCACTGGTGTAAGACAGCTTACATCAGTAAACTGCAAAAGGAGTCACTAATCAACAGTACTGCGGTAGCTTCAAAAATCTATGGGTTAATTAAACTGCATAAGCAAGATCACCCGTTCCGCCCAATTGTTAGTACAATAAACTCACCATTTGCTGCAGTGTCCACGTTTCTCTCAAACATTATGTCTAACATAGTCGGAAAAAGCGAGTATAGTATAAAGGACTCGTATGACTTCTTTGATTTTATTAACAACCAGGAAGTTCCGGATGAATTTTGTCTTATTTCACTGGATGTTACATCCATGTATACCAATATTTCTGCTGATTTGGCCGTTCAATACGTAAATGCTCGTTGGGACGAGAACACAAACTTTTGTCAAATTCCGCTGGACAAATTCCTGTATATGCTAAAAATATGTATAACATCAACAATTTTTCAATTTAATGACACTTCCTACAAGCAAATCCACGGTTTAGCAATGGGAGCCAGCGTTTCAGCAGTTTTAGGTGATATAGTCATGGAGAATTTGGAAGTTGAGGTTTTGAGAACCATTCCATATCTCATCTTGTATTACAAGCGGATGGGGGGTTTTTCTTAGTAACCCCCCCCCCCCGGGGGCCCCAGGGGGGGGCAACTTTGAAAATTCAAATAGCAACCCCCATTTTTTTAGACATGGTTAAAAAGAACTTAGACAGACAAGAAAATTGGCAAAAAAAAAAAAAAAAAAAAATTGAAATCGGTTCACTCGTTCAAAAGTTACAGCCGTTCAAAATTTTAAATTGACCACTTTTCAGAAAATCGCCGTTGAGCTCCAAATTATTGAAATAACAAAAACAAACCAGGAATGAAAAGTTTGAAAAGTGCCTTTTAGGGAAATGAAAAACAACTGACGTTGTCACAAGTTCGGATGGCACTATTTCAAAATAAAATTTCGGAAAATTCAACGTGGCGGCAAATTTGAGGAAACACGAAAAATGAAAATTCCAAAAACTGTTATCTTTTAAATACCCTCTAGTTTAAGGAAATTAAAGGTATCATTTTTAATTATTTTATTTGGCGAAGCAAGAGCAATAATTTGCTGACTTTAAAGTTGTCAAGCGGGACACTTTCAAGCGTTGGAGTATGCAACATCACAGGATTAAATGGGCTATCAAAAAATGAAGCCAATGTGAAAAAGCGCTCCTCCTTTGGGATGCTTTAGAAATTTTGAAGGTCCTTCTTCTCAAATTTAACGATAAAAAAGAAGAAAAGAAAAATTGAGCAATTTTTCCCCCGCAAACTTGTAGAGCCAAAAAAACATGGTTTATCCTGATGGGGTAGGGGCGGTTGACATTTTTGACATTTCTCTCTCTGAAAATTAAAAATACAAGAATAGTTTTAATTCTCTTACTCCTGGCACTCCAAATTGGCAAGGAGGATATCTGCTACGCTTTCAATTCCGAAAACGCCGTTCTACTCTTGATTATTATCTGTGTTGAGATTATCTTATTGACAGTTTCAACCTCACGATTTGAGGCACCGATCTTTTAGGTAACACCTGATACACTATCTGATCAGTGACACTATTTTCGAAGCTGAAATCAGTATGCTAAGTTCCATTGATTAGTCACCTCAACTTTAAAGTCAGCAAATTATTACTCTTACTTGGCCAAAAAAAATAATTAAAGTTGCTACCTTTAATTTCCTTAGACTAGAGGGTATTTAAAAGATAACAGTTTTTGGAATTTTCATTTTTCGCGTTTCCTCAAATTTGCCGCCACGTTGAATTTTCCGAAATTTTATTTTGAAATAGTGCCATCCAAACTTGTGACAACGTCAGTTCTTTTTCATTTTCCTAAAAGGCACTTTTCAAACTTTTCATTCCTGGTTTGTTTTTGTTTTTTTCAATTATTTGGAGCTCAACGGCGATTTTATGAAAAGTGGTCATTTTAAAATTTTGACCGGCTGTAACGTTTGAACGAGTGAACCGATTTTAATTTTTTTTGCGCAATTTTTCTTGTCTTTTTAAGTTCTTTTTAACCATGTCTAAAAAAATGGGGGCTGCTATTTGAATTTTCAAAGTTGTCCCCCCTGGGGCCCCCCGGGGGGGTCCACTAAGAAAAACCCCCCATCGAAAAATTTCCCTTTTTGCATGATGAAGAATACCACAAACCGCGACCTTCTATCTTTTTTTGTTCAAAAATTATACCCACTTTTCAGTTACTTTACGGACACCCGGAAAATCGTCCACACCCTCAGGGAATTTGTCATTTCAATAATTGATATATAGATGCACACCCTGTCAAACGCATGTTACTAATAACTCGAAAAATATTAATACGCTCTGGTGCATTCTTAGAGGGCAAAAAAATTGAAAAACAAGTGGTTAATATGAATAGGAAACCTTGGTTGCTGTCATAAGTTGCTGCCAATGGCGATCTCTAATGGCCGGGTTTTGAAGCTCGGCAACAGCTTTTAAAGCAGTTAGCATGTTCTTAATCATCGATTCGAGCTGCAAGTAAATTTTCCAGTTCCGCATATCTTTATCTAACGCTGGAAAGGAAAAAAAAAACAAAAACAAACATAAACGTTGTTATGAAATTGGATTAATCCATCGGAGTGGACTTTATACCGCGAGGGGGAAAGCCCAGACTCGGTGGGTAAACAACCAAGGGAGTTGTCAAGGAGTAGCATATTTTAGGGGCGGTCGATTAAGGAGAAAGAGAAAAATTAATATCAAACTATTTTCTTCTTCTTTTTTTGGAAAATTTCATTTATAAGTATCCATATCAGATTTGATAAGAAATAGGTCCAACTCGCTCCAAGAGGTATTATTATTTAAATACATGCCGGAGATGGCTCTCTTGAAACCCTCTTGAGTGGTAGGAAAATGAGGTTTTGAGCAGAGTAAAAAAAACGCTAAATATCTTCGGAACGTTCGTTACCCCTTCATTTGCCGGGTTATGCATGTATTGCAAGTAGCCCCTTTTATCTGCGGGTTATGCAATGGTGTAAATTGCCCCTTCATTTTCCGGGTTATGCAATGGTGTATGTAGCCCCTTCAATCTGCGGGTTATACGATGGTGTATGTTGCCCCTTCAATTTGTAGGTTACGCAACATCGTTGCCAGGCGGTGCACATAAATAAAGGATTTAATTATCGGTGTAATTTGGCAGCATCGAATTTTACAGTGTTGCCAGATGGTACAAGAAATTAAATACATTTTCCGTTCATTCTTGTCAGATTGTGCAAAAAATTCGGATTTTCGGACTTGCGAAATTTTGGCAATAGATCATCTCCTCCGAGATGGGTCTGGTATCGGAGACTGGAGTGTAAGGTCTGATTCGGGAAATTAAATAATATAACTAAGTCCCGCGCTAGAACGTGCAGTCGCACTGCAGTGGCTCGGCGTGAATGATCGATTATCGATATTTTTCCATTTAAGTCCGTGATAAAGAATCAATTATTAAGGTGTTCGCTACGAACACCCTCTTAATCGATCCTTTTCCATAGGTTTAAATGACAGATCAATCGATATATCCCAAAGCACGCCACGCCGCTGTTACACTGTTACTTCTTTACCACCGAAATTGATCGCTCTTCTTTGTTGGTCTACTATATTAACGCGCAAACGTTGGATCTTACCACTCAAGAGGGGATAGTGATGAATCGTCGACGGTTGCTCTACCATTTTGAATCCTGGTTCGATATCGGGAGCAAACGCATAAGTGTGATGTCCGCACACCCCGTTCACGTATCCACCGTCGGCGATGCTGCATTCGACGCATATCATCATTACGGGTGAGATGTTGACGCGATAGTCAGCTTCGTGTCATTCGTCCGGTACCAAGAGATGCTTTCCGAATCCGAGCACCTCACGGAAAGTTCCGGGTCTGCGGAAATCGATCCAGTACTTGTGTGGGGTGCAATGCCCGCCTTTATGGTTAATTTGAAAGTGAAAATTTGCGAGTGCGCGAGAGGAAATAAGGTATGAAAAATATCTTCACCTATGAATCATAGGTTCGAATAAAATGGAGTAATTAATAATTAAATACTTAAATTAATTAAATGATTAATCTAATATTACTAAAAGGTGGTGTTCACCGGTGCGAATGTGCGAATCGAAATCTCTTTCCGACGAGTAAAGGAGAGCGAATATTAGTGTCGTATCCATGTCGGCGTTTTAATGCCGGATCTTGCGGCATGTTAAGTTGGGTTCACTGACGAGTGTGATCTGCTGATGAGGTCTAAAAAGACCAAAACTGGAGATCTTTCGCCGCGTGACTCCAACTTAATATTCCAATGCAGACTACCTGAGCTGAACACTCTCCCTCCCCCACCCCCAGTTTTGCACTGGTACTCATTAGAGTTAAAAAGATTTATTTTTGACTCTAATTATAATTTGTGGAACTTCTTGGCTTTGATTTTCCCACGAAATGGTGTGGACCAAGCACCGTTTCTCCACCTTGTTACACCTAGTTTTTATATTTATGTTTTAATTTTTTAATTATTACGACGTGTTCGCGATTGTTGAACCCAGTAATAGGACCTGAGGATGAAACTGGTCAGTTGCAAAATTGCCATCTTTGAGTAATCAAAAAATTTCAAGGAGATCAAAGTACAAAGATAAACTATACGAAAGTATTTCGCTTAGTGGCCAAATCACTTTCCAACTTTTTACCAAAGGCAATTTTTTCCATTACCTAAAATATACTCATAAGTACCTTAAAAACTGAGCTGCTAGAATAGTGGTTGGCGAGGACAGAGGAAGGAGGAAAAGGGATTTACATATCGAAAAAATCTCTGTTTTTGGCATTTCTCGTCCCTCTGAATGCATCCCCAATACTTTCATTTTTTACGCTGATGAATTTCATGAAAATTGTAGCCATAGGACTAGGAGGAGGTCGTAGTCCGTTCCCTTGCTGTGTGTACTATCTCCCCATGTCCCGTCTACTTCGCAGAGTGCGGGCGGATCAAGCGCGACCACTAAGGTACTACTCTTTTTCGAAGTCTCTGGATCTTGGACTCCCATCCAGTGATCCATCCTTGAACTGCTCCGTGCTTTGGAGGAGGGTTGACCTCTATAATCCGGAGTCTTGATCCTTCGGGGTCCAGCGAGGGGGAAGGGAGGAGAACGCCCGGTGGGGTCACACCTGTGCGAGACGTGACATAAGGAGAGGATTTTAGTTAGGGTCACAGCATAGCGGCGTGCTCCAACCCTGCATAATCGAGAAATTAACAGTTCCACCCTAGTAGCCAAAATAGTTCCATCGAATAGGTATCGTATAGATACCTACCCTATTTTATAGGTATTTAATGGATATTTTATGGGGTATAAAATATACATATTCAGATCCATCTATTTAATAGGTATTTTACATGATTTTTTATAGGTGTATCTCAAAAGCACGTTTTATACCTATTAATAAGTATCAAACCAATTTCGTTCTGTAAGTTTCATGGAAATGGAAATTTTCATCTCTGCATCCTCGTTTCGTGTTCGTGATAATGATGATAGTGGTATCACGGTGGTTCCTTAATCGAACGTCTACGTCCTCATAGCGGTTGTACTTATCTACGTCATCAAGATGGCCGCTACATCTGTAACGGTCTCAGCTCCGCCCTGCGCAAACCCGACCAACTAGGGGGTATTGACCAAGCCCACGCCGCCTTATTGATGTTTAAAAGTTTTCAAGTTAATTAATATTTGTTTCAATACTTCATTACTATCAGCTCCGTTGCAGGAATTTGTTCATTGCTTGAATTATTCCTCTGTTTGCCGGAGTAAGTGGCTAATTTTACTTTTTTCTCGTAGGTACCTTTTTCCATGCCAACCTTGCGTTTCCTGCGGATGACAGACGATGTAATTCTGCTTGTTGTTTGCGAATATTTATCTGGGTGCCTCATGCGAGTAAAATATTCCTCTAGACGATGGCCTTAACTGTCTCTTTTGAATCTTAATTGTTCGACAAGAATCAAGCATGAAAATACATTTCTGAGACCAGCGCAACTGACCCATCATTTGCAGTGGCCCTTAATCGTGCATGTGGATCCCGACTCTAGGTTAGGTCCTTCAAATCGTACAAAACTTTTTCATAATCAGGTATTGAAATTATATGAAGTTATGCATGCATTTACTACAATGTGCCATTTCTTACTGCAGTTACAAAGTCGAGTGGAGAGTCTAAGTACGTCAAATAAGTGTACGCACTCCTTTGGTGGGACGGAAGAGAATCTTTCATCAATTTAGCATTGAAAGTAAAGAGCAGAATCGAGATGGTGGATCCGCTGATGCACTCGAAAGGTGCAAATCTAATTTGAAGCGGACCCTTATCACAAATAGAAACTTCTCAACTATTGCAGGCGAGTGCTCCAGTAAGTCTGTAGGAACATCCATGAACATCCTCATACCACCTGCATTTTTCTTGCGTCTTCAAAAGAATGAAGTACACTTAAAGTTTGGTTGCATCTACTTCATCTCTCGTAGGACTTATGAAAGTTGTCTGATTTTAAAATATCTAGAACCACTAGAGCTTCAACAAGAATGAACTGCTCTACGTATCAGATACTCAATGTATCCTGGCAATCAGTGATTGAATCAGGTTATCCGTCAACATTAGATGGTGGGTCCCTGAGTTTTAAATTGTATCGACTGGTGGACTGTGGGGTCTAACTCTCACTTTGAATTCGTTCTGTTATCAAATGGTGGATGATTTATTGTAATGTATCTTAATGTCTCTCTCTATTGACGGTCATTAATTGTAGGTGGATCAATTGGATGATCTGTCTCTCGCTTTGTATTTTTGCAGATCAACACTTCCGGGAACTTGCCATATCTAATGTACAAGCTGCTTAGTGCCATTCGCTCTGTGCCTCTCGACATTCTCTGTCATGTGTGGAAGGAACGTCCGGTAGAGAATCGATGGCTACCTTAATATCATCAATGATCGGAGTAAATCGTTAAATTATGTAAGCTTCATTTTTATCGGTGATGAGGGATGATGTCGCATCTTTTAAAAAATGCATTTTTCTTCTGTAAAAATAAACTGAAAAATGGCGTTGTGTCAGTGCTTTTCTGAGAGTGCTGTTCTGCAGCCTGATTGTTGAAATTTTGTGTCTGTTGGCCTGTTGGGTAGACATAGATGACAAAGGTTAAAAGGCGGAGCGTGATTGGTCAGCTATGTTTTATCGCTGATTTGTGGTGCCTACGTCGGGTGGAACTCACGACAAGCTAAAGGCACCTCTTCAGTTTTCAACTGTACGTCCTGATAAAGCAGCGATAAAACATAGCCGACCAATCTTGCTCCGCCTTCTTACCTATGTCATGTACGTCTACCCGACAAACACAAAATATCAACAATCAGGCTGCTGTTTTGATTAGCTATTAAATCATTGTGCTAATTTTTCTCTTACGTTAAAGAGTGCTTTACATTTTTCTATGATGTACTCATAGTGTTTCAAGTGTTCCTCGATACTTATACCAGTTCTAATTGTTCGAATTCATTTTTGCAAAGTGGATTTTCTGACCCAATGGATTACAGATTCAAGCAAGTTGGTGAGTGTTTTTTGTTCATTTTCTAAACTTTAATAGAGCATGTTTGCATGGCCAAAATATCCCGTGCCTTAATGGGGATACTTGCTTCTCTGGAAATTTAGGCCATGGTTGGTTGCTATACGCGCGCTTCTGAACCTTGAATTTTCAACAGTGACTTGATGATAAGAATGCCATTTGACGAAATTGAGCCGAAAGGCACCAGTTTGGGTTCTTCACATTTTAGTCACAGCTGATTGCTCGCTACCAAACTATGGCTAAATGATCAGATATTCGACTTAATAAACTACCTAAAAGCAGTTTTTTCTACATTGATCCAAAGAATAAATAAAGACTCGTCAATCGAATTGATTCTCTTGAGTAATCATCATTTTCCTTTTCTCTTATGTCTTGATTCTGGAATCTCTTATGTCACGTTTTTGATCTGTACATATTATTATTGTTATATTCCTGTTTATTTTTTGGTTTTCTTCATCTCTTTACTAGGATGTATTCTAAGCCTTTGGTATTGTATTCATTTGTTCTTTGTCTTCATGTGTAAAAAATAAACAATTTTTATGAGTATTACATATGCTATCTTTTGTACAGGCCACCTAGAGACCGACCTTATTTTACAGATCCAATATGGTACCCCAGACCATGGGGTATCTATACCATTTTATACCTATTTAATATGGTATTTAATACTACCCTATTTTATACCTATTTTAAATGGTATTTTATACTACAAAAAAGGACACTTTATAGGATTTTTTAATACGGTATTTTATACCTAATTTAAGCTATTTAATACCCTATTTAATAGGTATTTGAATAGGTATTTTCTACATATCTTGAAAGGTATTATACATCATATTTTGGCTACTAGGGCAGTGACGAGGCGAATTAGAGGTCACCGCGGTGGCCCTCCATCGGCTATCGCTGCCGCCTTAGTGTTCGGTTGGTCATCCTTTATAGGGAAGTGGTGCTCCCTCTGTTAGGCGCACTTGGAGCATTTTCTCCTAAACAGAAAAAAAATTACGAAAAAAATCACTCACATCTAATTTCTTTGGAAAACTTTTTCAATTCCATGTCCATGGCCTCTGAGTCGATCCTGGTCCACTGGGTATCTTCCCAATCTCGAAACCATGATCGTATGATGATAATGTAGTCCCATAAAATCTAAGACGTAAAAGGTGCAAAAAGTAAGAATGATGATTGAGTAAGTATAATTTAGAAGAATCATTTTAGAGGAAATCCTGTTATTCAGTAAACTTATTACTAACTACTTATAGCACTATCTCCTCACACTAGAAGTGTTCAGTGTGCAAACATGGTGTGTTGTCCCTGCCTTCCGTACCGGGAATTATCTCCCGGAAAAATTCGTTTCTTTATTTATCCAAGGAAGGGCAAATACAATATAGCAACTGCGGAAAATTCAATGCTCTCGTAAACTTTGCCTTCTCTGGCAAGGAACTCTCGATAAAATTTTTTAGTTTTTTTCATGAAAGAATTTAAAATAAAAAAACGATTTGATCATTTCTCGCACGAATCAGTTCAAAAAGTGTAAAATTGAACTATCATTGTCCAAAACACGGCTCAATTTGGATGGGGGGAGGGGGGGGGAATACTCACTTCTAAAAGATCAAGATTTGCTCATATGACTGAAAGTCTGCAATAAGATGGTCACAATCGGGAAGCCTGATCTCTGAGAAAAGAGGGGTTGTGATTGCATTAAATCAGAAAATTCTTGGATATTTGCCAGATGAAAATAAACAAAATGAATATTTCACAGAAATAGCCAGGTTTTGTCGATGCTCACATTTTTTGGTTCCAAAACAGGGAGCTAAACATGGCTCCGGTGCCCAAAGTGGCTGGAAATTCGTATTTTTTGCAGTTCTACCTCAGATTTCAAATTGGGCCAAGAGGCGACGGGTTATGAGCTTCGAATAAAGCTAGTTGAAAAAATGGATCAAAAATCAGTAAGATGGGAGAGGTTGCAACTCAGAATATAAGGAGGAATGCTGTTTCTACCTGCAGTAACATAGAAGAGCGAAACTAATCAAAATTGCATATCATCACAGTTGCGACACTCGACCCGACACAATTAAAGAAATAGGGGTATGATGCCGCAACATGGCAGTCTGGCTGAACTTCAAAAAAGAGACGCGAATTAAGGTGACCGCAACGTGGTCCACCTGTTAACGCTCGCGAGAACTCGCGAGCGTTCAAAGGGGGGGGGGGGGGGTATAGTCGCACTTGAGGTGATCCCTTATAGGTTCAAGACCTAGGCGCAATATGCGTGTTTAGTCTTGTCTCAAGGATCTCTCAAAGATTGACTCAAAAGATCGCACCGAGGAGTTTGCTCATAGGTTCAAAACCATAGGCTCAACATGCCTTTTGGGCGCTTCTGGGTACGAGATGCGCCCTTTCCAGCCGTTCGATTCCCCCGATGTAACATGTACTATACTACATACCGTTTTGCCTTATGGGTAATGACGCCATTCTGGTACATTACATACACTGGCCGGGAAAATTTGATTTTCTTCTGCATCTGGTATTCGTAAAAGTTTTCGTGAAATGTTTTGCTTTTAAGCATAACAATCTCGCACGGACGTATTACCTGGTTAAACTATTTTGGGGCTTCGTTATGCTTAAATGCCTCATATTCGAGGTTGTAGTTTCAGATTGATTCGAAAAAATCACGAACAGTCACGTGATCTCTTCATTTTAGTGACGTATTACTGTGCTATTTTGTGATTGGTTCATTTTCTCGGCGCAGCATCGTCAAGCGTCAGCTGTTTGCGGCTCTGGGTTGAAGGTTTAAGGTTATGTCAGAGAGAATAGAAAGTTAGAGGCCCGACTCGATGCTAGGTAATTGAAGCAGATGCGCTCGCAGCGCGCTCGCTGGCAACGTACGCAACTACTATTTTCTATTGTTTTCCAGAGACTAGCGGCGGGTATGTTGCTGCCGGACCACCTTCACGTAGGCAATTTGTTATACATCGTCCGTCCGCAATACTCTCGCTTGGCCGTATGAAAACGTTCTTCGCGTGCGCAGTGTTAAAGAAGTGCCCTCCAACGCTTTGGCGTTGGAACTGCTTGTTTAGCTTTGGCTTGAGGACTCCTGGATACGAAACGCGGAGCAAGTGCTCAGGCAACAGTGTTCAGCCCGGGCCTCTCCTTAATAGAGGTGACAATAGCTAGATAGGCGGAACTTATTTAGAATCCAGCTGTCGCCGGGTTGGGAATCTCACTCTACACTGGAAAAATGAGTCCGGCGCGGCGTTGGAACCGAGTTAGCACGGGATCACCATTCCCGTAAAAGTCGTGCCTCACCACCGATGAGCCTGGGCACCTCACCGGAGCTTCACAGGGTTGCAGGCCAAGTTGAGTCCAGATCAACTTCCGATCCTAACTGGACCATCCTGTCCCGAGTGGCCCAGGACCTCCACCCGAGTTTCACGGGAATGGAGTCCGAGTAGAGCCTGGACCAACTTCCCATGGTTTCCGGGCCGTTCCTATCCCGGGTCGTCCAGGACCGTCAGCCGGCTTCGCCGGCGACAGACTTCAACGGATCCCTTCAAAATAGCTTCGCTCAGTCACGGGATATCATACGTACCTACCTCGTCCCATAGGAGGAATTAGTGGCCGGGCAACCAAAACTAAAAGCTCGCCAATGCTCGCGACTAAAATGACCAATTTTGTGCTGTCAATAAACTACACCATAAATCAAAGGCTACTAGTCAAAAAATGCTAACAATATATCTCGCAATTAGCCAGAAAAGTTTGCCTCATTTGTGCAAAATCAATGAGGAAAAAAGGTACAAGAATATTGTGTTATCGTTGATGTTAGCTCCGTTGCAAGTAAGTTAGAGCCTGATACGTATCATGCTTTACGTATCCACCTAGCAGTAAGATATTCATAGGATACCCGTGAGATATTCAATGGCAAAAGTAGAATATCCTGTGAATATCCTACCAAAATTTTAAACGAATATCCTTGATTAGCAGTCAATGTTCTGCATGCTTTAATAGTAGCGTATACAAGCTAAGCGCTGGGCATTACATTGAACTAAAATTCATGAAGATGATACGGCAAACCGAGGGAGCAACTTGTGCTAAAATGACCAATACCTTACCAGAAAATTGTAAACATGGGGATTCATCCTTCATCCGTTAAAAACCAAAAGAATGATTGAATTTTTAACTACTTATACGTAATAGTGTGATTTTAAGAATCTTAATCACCAGGTCACCAAAAAAAGGGGGCACTATCAGTTCGAGGTTAACCTTAACACTTCAGCTTACTAACACTAACTGAAAACTGCACAAGAATCTGACAATTTGGAGAGCAGTGATGTAAGATGCAAAGTGCGCTTATTTATTAGGTACTCACTCATTTTGTTTTACCAACCTTCAACAATCGCAATTCTTTACGGACAATAGGTACATGTTTGAAATCTGGACAGGAGACTTCAAAAAGGTTTGCTTGCTCATTCAATCTGCACATCATTTCTTCAAGATCTTTGATTTCCAGATGGATCCTATCTATTTCTAGATATGGATGATTACAACTCCAACTGAAAACAGTTCAAGTATAGAGAATGATAAAACACAACCCTACGCTAGCATGTGTGGCAGAGTTTAAAAATGATTTGACGTAATACAAAAGTCCCCGACCCCCCCTTTAACTTTTGAAAGCATAATTGTATCGAAACGAAATTTTGGGGATGCTCCTAGATCAATAAGAGCTACTTTTTGGCACATCCAAAATTTTTTGGGGGGCGCTCCCCCCGCGAATTGCGCACACTAACTCGAAATTTTTCCCCCTCTTGTGATACATCGTTGGAAAGATAATAAAGAAGAAACTTTTTGGCGCAAACCGGAGGTTGCTACGACTTTTCGTTCTCGAGTTATTCTCGGTCAAAGTTCAAAATAGGCCAGTTTTCAAAAAATCGTAAGTCCGGTTCAGAAAGGTGCAGAAATGCAAACGAGGCGGCAAAATTCTCAACATTGCATGTACTTTCAGAAAAAAATCGTCAAAAACCTTATCGTCTGCGCCTAGAGTGATTTTAGCCCCCCCCTCCCTCCCGCGATTAACTGTCTTTCTTGCGGGAGGGGCGGCCAGTTCACTCGATGCGGAAGTAGGTACCTTTTTGAAGGTAACTCAGCTACCTGACGGAGCCCAGACTATTTGGGGGGGGGGGGGCACTCCCCCCCCCCAAATAGTCTGGGCTCCCCCCCCCGCCACCGCACCCCCTCCCTTCCGTGGTAGAATGATAGTTTTGTTTAGAACCGTCGGTTTTCCGCGGGAGGGGGGTCGGCGGCGGCGGGGACTGCCGCCCCCCCCCCAAATAGTCTGGGCTTCGTCAGGTAGCTGAGTTCCTTCAAAAAGGTACCTACTTCCGCATCGAGTGAACTGGCCGCCCCTCCCGCAAGAAAGACAGTTAATCGCGGGAGGGAGGGGGGCTAAAATCACTCTAGGCGCAGACGATAAGGTTTTTGACGATTTTTTTCTGAAAGTACATGCAATGCTGAGAATTTTGCCGCCTCGTTCGCATTTCTGCACCTTTCTGAACTGGACTTACGATTTTTTGAAAACTGGCCTATTTTGAACTTTGACCGAGAATAACTCGAGAACGAAAAGTCGTAGCAACCTCCGGTTTGCGCCAAAAAGTTTCTTATTTTATTACCTTTCCAACGATGTATCACAAGAGGGGGGTTACCAATTGAAAATTTCGAGTTAGTGTGCGCCTCCCCCCCCCAAAATGTTGGATGTGCCAAAAAGTAGCTCTTATTGATCTAGGAGCATCCCCAAAATTTCGTTTTGATACAATTATGCGTTCAAAAGTTAGAGGGGGGGTCGGGGACTTTTCGCTCACCCTGTATGATCTTAACAGGAAGTAATTTTCTTTTATTATTACACTAAACTCTCGTATGCGCTCTCGTAGGCCCGCATCGACAAAAGAACGGCCGACAAAAATGAAAAGATCTTCATACCCGACCTTATTTGTCCAATCTTTCTCTCGCCGGGAGCGATTTGACCAATAAGAAGCGAATGAAAAAATCGGCATTTATTTCAAACATCACGCCAAGACAGAAACGAAATGGGAAAGGAGCGTTTAGTCGCTTTTGGATGGTCTGTAGCAAAGGAGCATACATTTGATTCACTTACCTACTTACTTCACCTGCTATCGGACTACGATTCAACATTGGTTCAATTTTCCGGTAAATTTGAAATTCCAATTTTCATCGGAGGGAATTTAAAATTTTACCCCCCTTTCTAATCTCTCTGGTCTACTCTTATATAAAAGTACCTGGGTCCCATTTTCAAATTCTGATTATAGCGGGTTCATCTAGGGATTATCACCTGTCGAAAATCGCAAAATTTATAAAATTGGCCCAATAGAACGCTTGTGACAAAAAAGAAAAATTTACATTCTTTAAATGGGAGAATTTGCAACTGTATTACGTGATATAAAAACAAGCGGGAAAGTTCTAATACTGTCGTATTAGAAAAGCGCTCAGGTGTCAGTCAATGTATTCAGTGAAGAAAGGAAGTATAAACTCCGTCGACTTTGCTGGGTAATGGAAATAAAACATCAGCTGATAGCAAACAAAGGTTACCAAGGAAACCGTAGACGCGTTTTTTCGTTTCCCGAAAATGATAGTCACCGTTGAGCTCATCAGGCGCGTTTTTTTAGGCTTCATTTATTTTCAACGATCAATTTCGATAAGAATTACTCTACCGCTAAGAAATTTTCTTATAGACAAACGATCGAAACTACCCGCGCATTACGTTGTAAGCGTAAAATACGGTTTTCACAGCTTTATTTATTTTAAAACTGGACCCCCCCCCCCAAAGCCTACACATCGGTGAGCTGGTGCGCCATTTAAACGAATTAGGACTAGTATACTAATACTCTAGAGGCAAGTCGAAATCAAAAAGCGCTGCCTATCAGCTGAGCGCTTAAAACCTGGGTCATATTTTCCAAATCTGAACAAAGCGAGCTCATCTTGAGACAATTGCCCGTCGATAGCCACAAACAAGCAGTGAACTCCAACACAATGTGTTGATAAGGCGCGTCTTCAACTCGCACATATCAAACCCTTTAGTTTTCATTTGCAGAGATTTCTAAATAGGCAAGTAGCACAACAAGAGAATTCTTCCGATCCAACACTTCAACGACGCACTTTAACGAGACCGTGTATTGTGAATGTAGAAAGCCATTCGAACGAATTTAAGTTTTTTGATCTGCCTCAAGCAAAATCTTATCAGATTCTTGAAGAAAAGTGCTACGGAAGAATTTAAGCGAAGAAAGGAAAAATTCTGTCGAACTCCTAGAAGATAAAGTCAATTTAAAGGTATTTTGGGGCTAAAATACCCAAATCACCGGTAGTATAAATCCCGTTATATTATTGGAAAGAAATTGACTCGATATAAATGCAATCGCTTTAAATATGTCTTGATTTTGTTACTTTAAACGTCTTTCCATGAAAAGAAGTTCAACCATGTCTATGCTTAATTCATTCTTGAATTGAAAGTAAGAAATCTACATCCCGAAAATCTACCGATTTGCCGTAAATAATCGCAGAAACTTGATATACCAGGTCGATGTACCCACTCGTTGAATTTTGCGCTTGAATGAGTGCACTTATATAAAAGTCAATATGCTATAGTCGTTTTGGGTGCCTTTATTTTTCAAGACTCAATTACAAGTAATTTCAATCCCGAAGAACCATCAATTTTCCGTATAAAATCGAAAAAATCAAAATATGTCCACTCCCTGACGTGAAAATTTGATTCTACGTGTGAAAATACTTATGCATCGATATGCTGAACAGAATCCGTGTCTATCTCGAAATTTTTCTCAGATGTTTGCGTTATTATCAGCTTCCCTTTAAACCCCGGTTCGATGGCCGAATCGGCTGTCCAAAAAGTAAGCCATTTTTGAAGGGTTCTATGAGAAATTCTTGATATTATCGGCTCTCAGGAAATCACCTCATGGCTAAAACTGGTGTATAAATATTTGGGTGCTTAAAATAATCGTATTTAAGGAACTAAGGCATTAAACTATGGAGTCAATTTCTATTTAATAATATAGGTAATGGGATTTACTACCGGTGATTTAGCTATTATAGCCCCAGAATACCTATAAAGCGCCTTTACCTTGCCGAATCTCGACGGATTTTTTTGTTTTTTTTTTTTGGCTTAAACGATTCAAGAGACACTGTAGTCAAAAATATACAGATTTTTCGATTCTTCAGGTCAAAATTCTTACAAAGAAGCCCCTTGCAAGAGGCGAATTTTTTGTAATTTCTCCCAGTTTTTTCACCGTTAGGCATAGAATTGAATTGCTTTTCAAATTCTGAGGTCAATTATATTTAATTGTAATTTATACATTTCTTTTTTTCCCCTTCATTTTATTTTTTGTATCGAGAAGTCGAGGTTTTGTTGATTTCTTCGGATTTCGATTACTGTAACTTCTCTTCTATTCGGCCGATTTTTGTGAATGAGGTCTCTTTTTATTTGTGTTTTAACGGAGAGTAAGGAAAAAATTGCTAAATACACGCGAAACAATTTTTTTCTTAAATTGGAGGAATCCTAGCGTGGACGGTGATGTGGTTAATGAAGCGTGAGTAATCGGGTCCCGGCGGCCGCCTCGCCGGGCCGCGCTAATGTGTTATTCGAGAAGCCGACGCTGGGGTCAGGCGCGCGGGGAAGAGAGGGATAAGTAGATTTTCATATGTGCGCAAGAAGCTTCCTGTATGAGCCACCTTTAGCAAATGGTCTAATGAGTCTCGAGGCTCATCACAGATTGTACTTACGGCTGCACCGGCTATCAGAGCAGTGGTACTAAATTTTGAAAAGCATAACAGGGGTGTGGAGATCTGTCAAAGCAACGTTTTGAACAAAACGGAGTGAGTGAAATTCTCATTCAAAAAGTGCCGAACTGGTCAGCCATCCTCGAATCAGTTCCCTTGCTTCTGCTTATATATGCATATTTTAAATCAGCGCGGCGCATTCTTAGGCTTTTTTTAAAAAAACAAGTAACGTAGACTCTTGGTATTCACTGCACAGAAACTAGAAAGCCCCAGAATGAAAATCAACTTTAAATCATAATTATTGACGGATAAATAAACTTTTTACACGCTTTGGAAAATCTCAGAAGTTCGCGGTAGTCACTTTTCGGTAAGGAACTAAGGGACTTGGTTATTGTATCGAGTGGGGGGTCGAAACGATCGCAAAGGCGGTATACTACGTATACGCGCCAAAATCATGAAAATCTGCCCAGCAGAACGCTGGAACTAAACGTTACCAGATATGCAAATTTAGGAGGTCTCTGAGCTTGTAGTATAGATGTCTCTGTCTTAAGTTTATGACTAAGCTTATGATTGCCAGGGATTTAGAACTGAGGTTTGAGGCAGCATCATACTCGGAGAGGCATCGCCGTGCGAGGCAGGTATCCAGCGCGGACTGTGATGCCGCATAGAACAGTGCACCGGGGGATCGCATCTGCCCGCGAGCCGGCTTAGAGCCCATTTATGCACGCGATTTCAAACTACACGGGAAGCTATG